TGGAGCAGTGTCAAAACCTGAGGATGACTTGAGGGGAGGAGGAGGAGGAAGGAAAGGGGGTGAATTTGGAAACCCCTGGGTGTGAGAGCCAAGAAGCATTTCAGCGTCAGGGACGAGGACTTGGTCAAGGTGCGGGAAAGTCAACGTCCTTGACCTGGACGAAGATCGGGAGAAGCCTTGAATGGGGGTGCATGTGGGGGGCGCTAGGCCATTCTCACTGGCCTGCGTGCCGTCCCTCGGCAGGGTGGTGAAGGAGGAGATTTCAGATGACAACGCCCGCCTGCCCTGCTTCAACGGAAGGGTGGTGTCCTGGGTGAGTGCTCCCGTCCCTCCTGCATCCGCCAGACTTCTCTGAGCCTCAGCCTGCCCCCTGCCCAGGAGCTGGAGGCCCTGGCTCCTTGCTGCCTCGCCTGCTTGGAGAGCCAGCTGGAGCTGTTCAGCCTTCTGGAGCCTCTGTTGCTTGCTTCTGCTTTTCCGGTGCTTTCCGCCGGCCGTGTGCTCGCTCAGACCCTGTCTTCTCCCCGAGTCCCTTACTCCCACCTCAGATGCCTCCCTTCCTGGTTGAGCCGGGTTTTGTCATTGCGTCTTTCCAGCTAGTGTCATCAGATAACCCCCAACCCGAGATGGCTCCCCCAGCCCATGAGCCTCGGACCGAACTGGCGCCACCCCCCCCACCGTTACCCCCGTTGCCCCCAGAGAGGACCAGCGGCATTGGGGACTCTAGGCCTCCGTCCTTCCAGTGAGTCTTTGGGATTCTTGCGTCCAGGGGAGGGAGGTGAGGAGGGGACTCAAGCCCCCTGGGGGGGGGGCAGTTGAGGACTTGAAGCCCTTGTCCCCCTGACACGTCTCTGCCCACCCAGCCCTAATGTGTCCAGCAGCCGGGAAAACCTGGAGCCTGAGACTGAGACAGAGTCGGTCGCGTCGGTGCGGCGGGAACGGCCTCGCAGGAGAGGCAGCAGTGAGCATGGCGGTGAGGGGGGCAGGGCCCCGAGGGCGCGCCAGGAGCTGGGGAGGGCTCGGTCCGAGGCGCGATGATGGGAAGCAGCCAGAGGAGGCCTGGGTTCCTGAGGTTCCTGTTCGCACGCAGCGGGGGGCCACAGGCCCAGCGGCCCCTCGAGGCTGGAGCGCCACCTGGCTGGGTATGAGAGCTCCTCAACCCTCATGACCAGCGAGCTGGAGAGCGCCAGCCTGGGGGACTCAGACGAGGACGACACCATGAGCAGGTACGGCCCCCGCCCCTTCCCTTCCCGCCCGCGGGCCGTGCCCCCCCCCCAAACCTCGTCTGCCTGTGAGCTCCCCTTCCCGACCTCCCGACAGGTTCAGCAGCTCCACGGAGCAGAGCAGTGCCTCCCGCCTCCTCAAGCGCCACCGGCGGCGGAGGAAACAGCGGCCGCCGCGCCTGGAGAGGGTGAGGGGCTTGTCGCGGGACAGCTGGACCTTGGAGAAGCTGGGGGCCCTGGCTTAGGGGGCCCGGGGGCACAGGAAGTGAGACTGGGGCTCGGCCCTGGGTCGTCAGAGGCAGCCCAGCTCCTACCCCATGTCCCCCACAGGCCTCGTCCTTCAGCAGCGTCACCGACTCCACCATGTCTCTCAACATCATCACCGTCACGCTGAACATGGGTACGAGGGGGCGCGGGGCCAGGCCCGGGGGGGGGGCGCGCGCGCCGGTCGGACTTCCCCTCGTCACACGCGCGCCCTCTGCAGAGAAGTACAACTTCTTGGGCATCTCCATCGTGGGCCAGAGCAACGAGCGTGGCGATGGCGGCATCTACATCGGCTCCATCATGAAGGGGGGCGCCGTGGCGGCCGACGGGCGCATCGAGCCGGGCGACATGCTGCTGCAGGTGGGCTGCGCCGGGGCCACGGGCGGCGGGGTGTGCGCCCCGGCGGCCGCCTCTGACCCGCCGGCCCGGCTTCCAGGTGAACGACATGAACTTCGAGAACATGAGCAACGACGACGCGGTGCGGGTGCTGCGGGACATCGTGCACAAGCCGGGGTGAGCTGGCGGCCCCGTCCTCCCACCTGCTCTCCCGGCCCCGGCTGCGCGGGTAGCAGGGGCATGACGTCACGCGGGTCCGGGGAGCATGCGGGGCACAGCCGCGGAACGTGACGCATCCCCATGGGGTGAGGGGGTGCCCGCGAGACCCCCACCTGGATGCCTCCGAAGTCCCCCCCGCCCTCCCTGGAGGGGACTGCCGTCCTGCCCTCGCGCCTCAGCTCTGCGCGTGCTCTGCGCGGTCTTCCCCCCGGGTGCGGCGGGCATGCGCGTGTCCGTCCCCATGCCCATCCTCGAACGGCGTGGCTGAGCGTCCCTGTTCCCGGACCGGCCCCGGAGGGACCCTGACCGTGTGTTCCCTCGCACCTGTCCGCGCCGGTTCTAGAGTTGTCGGTGTCACCGGGGCCCCTGTGCCGGCGCCTCCCCACCTCAGCCCTGCAGCCCAGCCCCGTCTGTGGTCTCTGCTCTGTCCCGTTCCTCTGCCCTCCCCCCTGCCCAGGCCTCGCCCCGCCCCCCCGCACCACCCCTGTGTGACTGCTGCTCCCCTCCCCACAGCCCCATCGTGCTGACGGTGGCCAAGTGCTGGGATCCCTCTCCCCAGGCCTATTTCACTCTTCCTCGAAGTGAGTGCCGCGGGGTCAGGAGCCGGGGGAGCCGGGGTTGGGCCTCCCGGCGGCAGGAAGGGCTGGTGGAGGAGGGTCAGGGCAGAGGTGGGATGGGAGTCTTGAGTCAGGGAGCGGCGGGGAAATGATCATCGCAGGGGCCTTTCCTGTCGCAGACGAGCCCATCCAGCCCATCGACCCTGCTGCCTGGGTGTCCCACTCCGCTGCGCTGACCGGCACCTTCCCGGCCTATCCCGGCTCCTCGTCCATGAGCACCATGACGTCGGGGTCCTCTCTGCCTGAGGGTGAGCCCCCAGCCCACCTTACCGGCCCCTCCCTGGAAGGCCTCTCGCCGGTGCTGTGCCCGCTGCTGCTTGGCAGGGGGCCCTACCTCGGACCCGTTTCTTCCCGGACAGGCTGTGAAGGCCGGGGTCTTTCCATCCACACGGACATGGCATCTGTGACCAAGGCCATGGCAGCTCCAGAGTCTGGGCTGGAAGTTCGGGACCGCATGTGGCTCAAGATCACCATCCCTAATGCCTTTCTGGGTATGGCTGGGTCCTGGATGGGTGGTATGGGAAGGAGAGGAGGGGCGGGAGGAGGCCCCAGCCGGGAACGGCCTAGGCAGGGGTGAGGCAGGAGTCCGGGAGGAGAACTGAGCACTTCTCTGCTCTGGGCGCTCCCAGGCTCGGACGTGGTTGACTGGCTCTACCATCACGTGGAAGGCTTTCCCGAGCGGCGGGAGGCCCGCAAGTACGCGAGCGGGCTGCTCAAGGCGGGCCTCATCCGGCACACCGTGAACAAGATCACCTTCTCCGAGCAGTGCTACTACGTCTTCGGGGATCTCAGCGGCGGCTGCGAGAGCTGTGAGTCTCTCTGTCCCTGCCGCCTCATCCTGCCCCTGCAGCCGCACCCCTAGCCAGGAAGCCAGCCAGGGCTGCCGTGGACGGTGGCGCAGCGTGTGCTGCGTTAGGCCCTGCCCTGGCTGTCGACCCCCAGCCGTGTTCCGCGGCCGAGCGCGTGGGACTCATGGCCCTGGGTGAGCTGTGCCCTGGCGGCGGGGGCCCACGGGGAGTTTCCTGCCGGAGGCCCTCGTCTTCGCTGCCCTCAGGGATGGTTCTGGGGAAACGGCACCGCTGAAGCAGTGACTCTCGCCCTCCTCTCCTGCTTTCCAGACCTCGTCAGCCTGTCTCTGAACGACGACGGCTCCAGTGGGGCATCGGACCAGGACACCTTGGCTCCTCTGCCCGGGGCCACACCCTGGCCCCTGCTGCCCGCCTTCTCATACCAGTACCCGGCCCCGCACCCGTACAGCCCCCAGCCGCCGCCCTACCACGAGCTCTCGTCCTACACCTACGGAGGTGGCAGTGCCAGCAGCCAGCACAGCGAGGGTGAGTCACTGTCCCTCCACGCCAGTACGCGCCGGGCCTGGGGACGGCCCATGGGGGGGTCCGGGAGGCCAAGGGATGCTGGGCCAGGGCTCAGGTGGCTGCACCCCTCACCCGCCCCCACAGGGAGCCGGAGCAGTGGGTCGACGCGAAGCGATGGGGGGGCAGGGCGCCCAGGGAGGCCTGACGAGCGGGCCCCCGAGTCCAAGTCCGGCAGCGGCAGTGAGTCCGAGCCCTCCAGCCGGGGGGGCAGCCTCCGGCGGGGCGGGGATCCCGGCGGGGCTGACGGGGGCCCTCCCCCTTCCAGAGGCTCGGCGGGCGGTGCTCCCAACCTCCGAGCCCATCCTGGGCTCCATCCCTACGGACCGCCCCCGGGGATGGCTCTCCCCTACAATCCCATGATGGTGGTCATGATGCCCCCACCTCCACCCCCCGTCCCTCCAGCCGTGCAGCCCCCGGGGGCCCCTCCGGTCAGAGACCTGGGTTCTGTGCCCCCAGAGCTGACAGCAAGCCGCCAAAGTTTCCACATGGCCATGGGCAACCCCAGTGAGTTCTTTGTGGATGTTATGTAGAGCGTACAGGATCTCCTCCCTCGGTCTGTCCTGTCTGGCCCATGCTGGCCGAGGGACCCCTGCCGGCCGAGGGGCTTGCCACTGTGACTCACCGGCAGTGCCTGGTCCCTGCCCTGCCCTCGGGGGTCTATAAGGGACCTTTGGTTATTTTTAGCTTTACTGTTTTTATAAGCTTTTTGGGGGGGGGTTGAAATAGATTTTCGTACATTTTTAGAACCGTTTTTTCAGTAGACACTTCCCTTTTTACATGAAGAATCCCTGTCTCCCGGGCCCCTTCTTCTAACCCCAAAATGTGACCTCCTGCTGTGCCCGCCCCGGGCATCAGCTGTGTCCTGTGCAGGGCGGGGGGCGGGCTGCGGTACGCTGGGAGGAGGAAGGGGGTGGGCACCCTAGCCAGCAGTCAGAGGAAGCTGGGGTGTTCGGTATTGGGGGCCCACGTAGCTGCTTTTGTTACTCTATTTATTTAGTCTCTTGTATAAAACCAAATAAAGCAATAGGGGCAAACTCCCCACGCCTCTGGCTCCTTTCTTTGGGAGGGAGGCAGGCAGCGAGAGGCCAAGAGGAGACCCGGCGGAGCGAGGCTGAGAGAGCAGTGGGGCGCTGGGCCAGGCCCTCTTTAAGGCAGCACCAGGACCGGTGGGGGGCGCTGGGCTCAAGAAGGCACGTGCCAGGCCAGGCCCTGGCGGCGGGGAGCGGTCAGAAGCCCAGGGGGTTGCTGGTGACTATGCCACCTCGCTCCACCAAGGCCTTGGAGATGCTCTTGAAGTTACGGAACAGCTCCTGTTGCTGTGGGTCAGACTGCAGAGCGGCCATGTTCTCCCGGACCCGGGCTGCCGCCTGGGGACACAGGACGAGGGGGTTCAGGCCCACGCCTCGCGCCCCCTGCCTGCCCTGGGTAACGCCGAATCTCACCTCGATACACCAGCTGTCACAGAGCATCTTCTCGTGCTGGGCTGTAGGGTGGCCCTCGCTCAGGGATCTTGAGGCCCTGGCGCCAAGGAGAAAGAGAACACCAACCTGGGCCATGAGCCTGGCCCGGCCCCCCCCCCCCCGCCGCCCCTCCCCCTGCCCTGGCCGCCGCCTCACCTGGACAGCACTACCACCATGGCATAGAGGTCAATGGCACTGTCTGCCAGGCGCTGCAGCACGAACTGTTCATCTGTCAGGTAGATGGGGCAGGGTCAGCAGGTGAAAGCTGGGGGGTCGGGGGAGGGAGGGAGGGAAAGGAGAGAAAAGTGGGGACGGGGCAGGGCTCACTCACTGACGATCCCCTTCTTGTGCTTTATTAGCTTGGCCTCCACCACGGCGGCAAACTGCTCCAGAGCCTTCACTGTCTATTTGGATAGAGAGGAAAGGCGCCAGCGCTCAGAGGCCCCAGCCGCACCTGCCCCCCGACACAGACTGCTGTCCCCCCTCACCCCGACTGCTTACCAGCTCTCCGCTCCGATTCAGCTCCTGGTGGATGACAGCACTGAGACTCAGGCCACTGCCCAGCCCTGCCCGCCTTCGAGGAAGCGGGAGAGTGACCGGTTAGTCACCACCACCTCCACCCCGGCCCATCCTGGCTCGCCCTGGCTCGCCCTGGCCCGGCCTGGCCCAACCCAGCTCGGCTCAGGCTTACCTCCTCAGCTGTTTGCCTGCCTCTCCTAGCAGGAGGCCGGCATTCCCAAAGGGATTCTTTAGAGCATTGCCAATTCCAGAAAGTTCCTTGCCTTTGTCCTGCGTGGGAAAAGAGCCTAACAGTGAGGACGTGCTCTTCTCCCTAATTCCTCCCCCGAGTTGTTCTTACCATACAGCCCTGCAGAGCCACAAACAGCCGGAGAATGTCATTGGTCCCCTCGAAGATCCGGAAAATGCGAAGGTCTCGGAGAACGCGCTCTACCCCAGGCTCCTGCCACAGGGGAAGCCAGAACACGCGGCCTGCTGAGCGGCGCCCACCCCCTCTCCTGTTTCCGCGGTGGCCACCCCAGGCAGAGCGCCATCCTGTACCTTCATGAAGCCCATGCCGCCCATGATCTGGATGCACTCATCGGTCACCTTCCAGGCCGCCTCCTGGGGACCGAGAACCACGTAAGATTGGTCTTGGAGCCAAACTCCCACCCTGGGCTCGCCCGCCCTGTAGGCTGGGGACCTCACCGAGCCAAAGATTTTACTGATGGCGGCCTCGATCTGGAAGTCCGTGGCTCCCTGGTCCATGTTGGCACTCACCATGTAAGCCATGGACTGAGATGGCACGGTTGAGACGTAGGAAGAAAAGGAGAGTATCAGACTCACCCCGATTGCCCAAAGCTCCCAAGACCAGGTCTGCTCTACTTCTCAAGGCCCTTGCCTTCACCACCTAGCTCCACCTGTCAGGCACAGGGAAGTACTTGGTCCCCTGAGCCAGCTCTTGGGGGCTTCTAGGTATTGGACTTCTTTGGAAGGGGTGAAAGAATGAGGTGGGGGTGCAGGTGGGATCAACTTCAGGGACCTCTGGAAGAACGACACGGCTCTCCCCCTTCTGCAGCGGCTGAGCTGACTGCGCCTCCCCGCATCCCCTAGGGCATTGGTGTAAAGCTGGAGACCCACTGCCCCAGGTGCTGCTGGGGGTTGTAGTCTGACCGACTAGGAGGAAGGCCACGGGGCTCTGGGGAGAGGGGTGTGGGTGGACCCTCACCTCAGTCACGTACTGCAGCATAGCCATCCGGGCCAGCTTCTCCTGGATCAGCCCAAAGTTGTGAATTTTCTCCCCAAACTGGGTACGATTAGCAGCATGGTCCACCTGGAAGAGGGCCCGCATGTCGCAGTGTGGTTCTGCAGTTCCTCCCCGCCGGGAGCGGGACAGGCTACGCAGAGACCCGAGCCCGCTGGGAGGGGAAGGCCTACGACAGGGCCCCCCCCGGGGAAGGGGGACAGGGCCACTTCGCTTCCGGCTAGCTGGAGCTCAAGCAGGGCACTCACCGCCTTAGCAATGATGCCCCTCATGGTGCCCGCAAGGGCCGCGGCCATGCCGAACCTTCCGTTGTTGAGGATGTGCATGGCGACCTTGAAGCCGCCCCCCACCTCGCCCAGCACGTTCTCTGATGGCACCCGTACTCCGTCAAAGTACACCTCTGCCGTGTTCGAGGCCTTGATGCCCATCTTCTTCTCGGGGGGCCCACTGTGACAGGGCAGGGTAGAGAAGCAGAGGTGTGCTTAGCAAGCTGCCGTGGGGCGGGGGTCATTTTGTGGGAGCCGGGGAGATACTGCAGCTGCCGGCTCGGGAGGAGGTGGAGGCAGCAGGGCCGGGCACGCTTGGGGAATGAGGACACCTGGTTCTCTAGCCTGCCAGACGCTCGGCTCACTGGGTGCAGGAGCCGAAGCTTTGTATTGGTTCTGTGCAGCTTAATCCCGAAGAGAACATGCCATCCGGCTGCTCTGGGTTTTGGGCACATCCCCAGGGTGACCTGTGACACCACCTGCCCTGGACTGCCGTGCTGTGCCCCAGCCTGGCTCCGCTTCCGTCTTCTCCCCAAACCCACTCACTGGGTGACACCTCCAAAGCTCCGCTCCACCACGAAAGCTGTGATCTTCTCCTTCACGGCCCCCGTGGCTGCGTCTGTGACTGGTGTCTTGGCAAAGACCGTGAATACATCTGCCAGGCCCCCGTTACTATGGAAAAATAAGGGGCAGTCAGGGTGCGGGGGACAGAGCAGTGGGGCCTGAAACTGGGAGGAGGTGGAGAAGAGACAAAGACGGGCAGGGGAGGATTGCCTGATCCAAATCTTGCTTCCACTGAGGGTGTAATATCTCCCACAGGGGCTGGGCACGGCTGAAGTTCGGATGGAGGCGGCGTCGGACCCACTGGAGGGCTCGGTTAGACAGAAAGCAGCTATGGTTTCCCCTGTTGGGGAGAGAGCGCCTTTAAACTGGGTCCCAGTGGGCATCAGAGGCCCCTCGCTGTCCCCACCCTGCCCACAGGCAGCCCTCAACGCTTCTGGCCACAGTCAGGTTCACGTTTCCCGACCAGCACACTGATGCCTTCCCAGAATCTCCCCCACCTGACACGCCCCAGCTAAGCGATGACCTCCGTACCACCAGCCTCATTTGTACCAAGCCCAGGACGCCCCCAGTCCCCCCTGGGTCTCCTGGGGCTGCCTCACCAGATGCCAGTTTGGGGAGGTATTTTTCTTTCTGGGCCTTGGTGCCAAAGAGGAGGATGCCTTTGAAGCCGATGCTCTGATGGGCCCCCAGGGTGATGCCCACGCCAAGGTCATGTGTGCCAACGATCTCCACCAAACGGGCGTACTGTGGGAGGAAAGCAGGCCTCCGGGGCTGTTACTGGCTGCCCCGTGGGGGCCTCAGCAGGAAAGTGCGGGCAACAGGGCAGGGCATTCCCACCCGGTGACTGGAGAGAGAAGATGTCCCCATGGTAGAGAGGGACCCTGGTAGGGCCGTTCCTACCCTATTTGTCAGTCCCTCCCACTGGGACTTGTGAACCTAGGTGAGGTCCATGGCCGTAAGGGACGCATGTAGTTCAGTGTCTGGAAAAGCGTACGTCTGGAAACCTAGTTTGTTGTTTTGTTGGAACAATGCGTGTGGACTGGTACAGTCACCATCCGAGAGGCCACAAGGGCAGTTACTTCACAAACCTGAATCCTGGGTCAGGTAAGAAAGGAGCTTAATCCACAAAGTTGCAGTAGACTGGGATCCTGGCGGGGGCAACGGGGCGGGGCGGGGGGGGTGACGACCTCCCTCACCTGCGTGTTGCAGAGGCCCACACCACCCAGTTCGCTGGGCACTTGCAGACCAAAGGCCCCCAGCTCCTTGAGGCCCTGCATGGTGGTCTCCTCCACCTTCTCCATCATGTCATTCTTGGCAGGATCGTTCACCTCCTGGAGGAAGGACAGGATGCTGCATCCAGGCTCCTTTTAATCTGTTCAACACCGCTCCCCACCCCATCAGGGACCAAAGCCCTGTATTCCCCCACCCCAGTCATTCCTCACCTCAAAGAAACGGGACACCGGCCCCACCAGCTCTTTGAGAAACTGTGTCTGCTCCTCGTTGAGCACTGTGTGGGGGAGGGCGTGCAACAGGCTGGTCAGGTCACCCGGGGCCGTCGAAGGGCGCTGCCCTGCTCCGCCCCACCCGGCTCTGACTACCCCTTACCGGACGGGTAAGGAAACACCTGGTCGGTGGTGAGCTGGCCCTTGAACATGCCCACAGCAAAGGACTTCGATTCCTGCACAGGGAGAAGGGGGTTTCAGGGAGCTGTCTGCTGGGGAGGGTGAACCCCTGGTCTAGCTCCTCCCGGCCTGGAGGCCACATACCGCCTTGGCCTGTTTCTCCCTGGTCGAAGCCTCGGGGGAGAAGGAATCGGACTTCTCCACAACGGCCTGGGGAAAGGGATAGTTAGTGAGGCCGGGGAAGGGGCTTCCGAAAAGCCAAGGAGAGCCCGGCGGAAGAGCTGGGTGCCGGCGGAGGACAGCTGCGGCGACCTTTCCCCTAGTTCCATCATCAGGGCGCCCTGACCTTTCCCCTACTTTCGGCGTCAGGCCCGGAGGCAGGTGCCCGGGACGGGGAGGGAGACCCCTGCCGGCGGCGGGGAAGGGGAAGCCGAGGCGGACCCCCCCACACCCACTCCCACACCAAGCGCCCCAGGCCGCCGTCACTCACCTGAGCGGCCCCGCTGGCATAGGGTCGGCGGGCCGGGCCGGGCGGGGGCTGCCACAGGAGCGCACGGGGCCGCGATCTGGGGGGAGAGGGGGCTCAGTCCTGGTCCGGTACCCAGAACCGCTGCCATCCGCCCACGCCCCATCCTTCCTGTCCCGCACGCACCTTCCGAGCCCCAGCCTCCGCAGCTGCCGCCCCACGCTCGGGGCCATCCGGGCCGCCTGCATCTCCGAACCGCTCCGGCCGCCGCTGACCCGAGTGCGGACCTACCGCGGTCGGGCGGTCTGCTAAAGTCTGGCTGCCCCCGTCCTGTCTTGACTCATCGTCCACAATGCACCGAGAGGCGGGTGGGCGGGGCTTCCGGTCTCCCGGGCATGCTGGGAGATGTAGTTCCGGAGCGCCCCCTCGCCCCTGCATTCTGGTTGACCTAGGGCGATCTCCAAACGTCCCCGTCTCCCCCAAACGCCTTCATCGCGCGCGTCCGAACTAGAGTGTAGCCCTCGGAAGGGGTGATGGAATAGGCTGGGGCGGAAGAGGGAGGAGCTTAGGCGACTGCAGCCAGAGGGATGGAGGGTAGACCGAAGGGAGGACTTCCCCGGTGGAGTTGAAAGGGATAGGTGGGAAGAAAGGAAGCTAAATGCCAGAGGCAGGAGGAGGGAAAGACAACCCTTCGGGATCCCTTGTGAAACACGTCTCCATCAACACGAAGAGGAGGGACATGGCGGGGGGGGGGGGAACCCAAGCATATTCTTCTGAGACCTAGGAGGTGTCGCTAACTTTGGAAACACCTGAATTTTCACAGGAGAACCCTCCTCCCCTCCTCAAATTCACTGCCTCCCCTTTAGGGCCTCTGAGATCTTCCTGTACGTCTCTCTCTGCCCTTGTTCCTTCCTAAGACTCTGTGCTCAGGCTAGATCGCTGACATACCGGGTCCTTCCCAGCCCGCGAGGAACTGTAGGAATTCTCATCCCCCGCCCCGCCCCGCCCCCCCACCCCTCACACACACACCTACTTCTCTAGCCCTAGGTCAAGGAATCCCTGGTAATTTATCCCTCTGCCCTGCCATCCTCACTGGGGACACAGCAGCAGGAGAGATCTGGGCTCACCTGCCTTTCCTTTGGGGCTGCAGGGGCCTCCTTGGGGGTGGCCCCCGTCCCCAGTTCCTCTGGGAAGTGTGGCAAACTCACCCCTGGCTTTGGGGAGAGAGGCCAGCGTGCGAGGAGCCAGGGAAGGATGGGACTGCCCACTTCAGCTAACAGCTAGAACTGGGTGGGGAGGCAGCTCAGCTCCAATCCTGCGGATTAGGGAGATTAAAGTCAGAGGGGAGAGATGTCCGAGAGACCCAGAGGTGAAACTCGAGAGCCCCGTGGAGGAAAGGCCTGGGGGCTGAGCAGAGGGGGGTGGGCTGGGGGCTGGGATTCGGGGGACCCTTCTCCTGAACCTTCCCATAGACTCTGGGGCGAGAGGGCACAGGCTGGGGAAGATGAATGTGCTGGTCCCCCTGTCTCTTCCTTGACCCCCTCCTCCCTCACTTGCATTTCACCAGCTCCCCGCTCAGCCCTCTGGCTCCTGGCCCCCCCACTGTTGCGATGGGCACCCCCTCTCCTCACCGTGCTGCACAGTGACCTCTTCCAGGCCTTGCTGGGTGAGTAGCCCCAATTTTCTGAGGGGCAGTGGTGGAAAGGGCTGGCCTGGGCCTGCCAGGGCAGTGAGCGAACTTGGGGGCAAGCAGGAGTCCAAGCAGGGGTCAGTCGCCCTGACCGTCCTCCATCAGGATCCAGCCGTCCTGGCTGGAGGAGCTCCTCCCTTACCAGACACCAGGAGGCGAGGTGGTGGCAGGGGTGGCCAGGGCGGCAGGGGTGGGGGAGGGTAACTCAGCTCTGTTCTGGTGACAGACATCCTGGACTTTTATGAGGCTTCCATCTCGGAGAGCCAGGTAAGGGGGTGAGGTGGGGCCGCTTCCTCAGGGAGCGGGCAGGCAGGGCTGGACGGCTGAGCTCACATTGACGACTTGGGGGCCCTGGGGACAAACTCCTGAGTCTCCTCCTCCCCTCCCCCCCCTGCCCCGTCCTGTAGCCCCTTCTTCCTCCTGCTTCCCCCCCCTTTCCTGGGCCCCAGTTTCAGGCACTAAAGAGTCCAGGCCCGAATTACTTTTCAGGCTTCCTGAGGGAGAACCCGCCCCCCCCCCCCCCCCCCCCCGCCCAGCGATCCCCCCCTGCCAGCCCCCCTCCCTCAGGCCCTGCCCCCTGCCAGCCCCCCCCCCCAGTACTGAAAGGAGTATGGGTGCTCCCGGCCCCACTGCGGGGTGCTCGCTGCCCTGAGAAACCGAAGCCGTCCTCCTGGTCTCTGTTCCGTGTGCTGGTGCCTGGCCAGGCCTCCATCTTTGCCCCAGGGGGCCCCTGCTGCGGCACTTCCCTCCTCTCCCGTTATCCGGGTTCCTGCCAGCACCGAAGCAGTTAACTCGGCCAAGGCACCCCCCCCATCCGCGCTCCTCGCTCCCTCCCTCCCTCCCCCTGCTTCCTCTCTCCTCCTCTCTCCCCTTCCCTCCTCGGCTCCACGGCTCCCTCGGCCGCTGCCGCCTCCGACCCCCCCACCCCACTCCCCCCGCCACGGCCCCTCGCCCCTGGCCGTTAGGCAAGACCCTCCCCTACCCCGGGGCTCCCCGAAATCCAGTTCCCCTCCCCCACCCCAGCTCATGCCCCAGCCCCCGAACTCCGGGGCTGCCAGCCCCCGGTGCCCCCGCCCCTCCTGAGAATCGGGGTGTGCTCCCCAAGCCCCCTCCCCTCCATTGGGGACCCCCTTTTAGGGCCCCCTTCCCCTCCCTCCCACGCTCCCCTCCCCTTCCCTTCTCCAACCCCCTCTTTCCCCTCTCACCCCTCCCCCCATCCTGGCCCCCCCTGCAAAAGTGGGGTGCGGAGGGGGGAGGGGTGAGAACCCACGGAGGGGAGGAACGAAACTCCGATGAAGTCAGAGCCCCTTACCCGCCGCCGCGGCCAGCCCCCCCAACATGGACTGTCTCTGTATAGTGACAACCAAGGTAAGCATGATGGGGGGGCTGTACACTGGGAGGAGGGCATGAGTTTGTGGGGAGGGGTCAGGCAGGCCTCATCTCTGGCTGGGGGCCGTGGAGCGACAGCATCAGAAGATGTATTTGGGGGTCATGATTTAGTTTTGGGGTTCACATCTGAGATAATGCTGGGTTTGGCCACAGGTGCCCCCTGGAGTGAGCCCTTTGTACCTGTACAGAAATGGAAAATTTGGGCTGTTTTGTGGTGTGGGGGGGGCTAATGGGTTTTGGGGTTCACCAACGATGTTTGAGGGAGACTTATTTAAGCAGAAGCCTGGCTCACAGGGGAGTCTTGCTCTTGTACATTAGAAGGTGGACGGTGTGAGGGGGGTCCTCTACCCTCCTGGGGGACAAACTGGCTCCTAGGTGTCTTGTCCAGTTTCAGGGGGCTCTTGGCATGGGGGTAGACGGTTATTGGTTGTGAGTGCCTGACTGGCCTGGGGGTGTCAGCGGGCAGAGAAGGGGTGGGCCTTCAACCTATAGAACAAGCATCTCGTGGTAGAGACGTTTGGGGGTATGCTCAATTACAGGGAGCTGGTCATTTAGGATTCGATCTTATAGAATGGGGACTGTTGGGAGTTGTCAGAGGGCTAGGGCCTGACATAGGATCACCTGAGGGAATGGACCAGGTGAGGTGAGGGTTTGGGGTACTCCCATGGGAGGGAGAAGCTTGCAGCAGCGGAGGTTGCCAGACCCTGAGGAGGAGGAGGAGGAGCGCTTTCGGCAGACGGGGGGATTTGAGGAGGGGGACCAGGTGGGTGGTGCAGAATTTGGGGGTGGCCCAGGCAGGTGCTCACTATCCCTGTCTCCTCCCACACTGTATCCACCCCTTGTTGAGGAAGAGGGAGAAGAGCAGATGGAGGGGAATGTTCCTCTTACCCCTGACTCTTGGGATCAAGGTGGGGGAGGACACCTGGATTTCAGGTTACCCCGGGTGGAAAGGAGTTGGAGGAAGGCAGGGCTGGCAGCGGTCGAGGACGGGACGAGGGTGTCCCTGTGGTTGGAGCCTTGGAAAGGGCAGATCTTGGACGGGGAGCACAGGCGAGCTCCTGGTGGGATGCAGAATACCTAGGTCTTGGCTGTGAGACTCTGGGACTGGCAAGCTGGATGCCTTGGTGTGTGGAGGGAGGCTTGGGCGGGTGGCAGGCAGCTGGGGGTTGGGGGGTGGGACAGGAAGTGGGGGCCGGGGAGGCGGGGTCCGGGTGAGTCACAGGCTGGGGAGGGGGTTATATTTAGTGGGAACTGCAGCTTCTCAGGGGAGGGAGCTGAGGACACACATGTTCCCTGCCACAAACTCACACATGTGTGTACACATGCATCGTGCACGTGTGAGCAATGGATGCAAGAGACTGGAGCTCGAGGACCTTCAGGTCCTGAGTCCCCACACCCTCCCCAGAGCTACTTACTTGTCTCCCCCCCCCCCCCCGACCCCCGCCAGTTCTGTGGGCTCCAGGCTTTCTCCCATGCTGCTGCTTTCCCCATTCCCTGGAGTTTCAAGGGATTTTTGTGCCTCACTTACTCTGGCCTGGTGTCCTTAATGTCTGTCTGATCCTTTGCTTCCCCTGTCTCCTGCCCTTAGCCCGCCCCTCAGCCTTAGATTCCCTGGCTGTGGTCCCCTGTGTTCAGGTGTACCCAGAAAGCCAGCTGGAACGTGTGGGCTCTGCTTCCAACATGTGAACACACATGTGTCAGCGAGGGTGAGGGGCTTGCCTGGCAAGCTCTTCTGGGAGGGGGAGCTTATTCGTCTTCCATCCAGACTCCTACTTCTTCGATGGAGCCCAGGGTGAGCATCCCCGAGGGAAGGAGCCTTGCGCAGAGAGGATCAGTCATGCATTTGGGGTTTTACAGAGGCGTGGAGGAGACCCAGGCTTGCCACCTTCCTTGGCCGGAAAACTTGTCAGTCTCGGGAGGACGAGGACTCCAACTCCCATAAGGCCTTGAGGCATAAGAGCCCTCGGTGTAAGAGGGTTGCTGTCCGTGGGGCTGTTGGGAGTTGTGGTTCCTCTCTATCCAGGGCAGCGGAGGGTAGCCCAGGAGGAGCCAGCAGGGGGCACGAGGCACTTGTTTCCCCCTCCCCCTCTCCCCCCGCAGCGCCCCCCGCCCCCAACATGCTGGGTGGGGTAGGGGGTGCTCGGGCTTTGCGGTCGTTGAGCTCCCCGGCCCCGTTTGGGTGTCCTCCATCTTTCATTGCCTATATTTAGATTCCTGCCGCAGTAATTTAGGGAACACTTATGGAAGGCCTACCCTGCGCCAGGCCCTGTGCTTTGCGCTAACTCTTGCCTTCCGAGCGATCACTTAGGCTTACTCCGCGCCGGGGTCTCTGCCCGTGTCTGTCTCTGAGAATCTCTTTCTCCCACTCCGCCCCCGGCCCTCCCCCTTCTCCCCGCGCTGCTGTC